ATCAACACACATAAAAGGGCTTATATAATTGCTTGGGGAGATGGAAAAGTGGAAAGGAAAAGGGAAATCTGAAGTTTGACCGTTTGATTTGCGAGAAATGGGAGATAGAAAAGTGAAAAGGAAAAAAGAAATCTAAAATTTGACCGTTTGATTTGCGAGAAATCCGAAATATTACGATTTGGTTTTATGCAAAGAAAAAAAATCTGAAATTTTGTGCAAGTCGGTTTTATGCAAGTTGAGAGTTTATTTGGTCTGAATTTATGCACTGTTTTGGCTTGATTAAGTGTTGTTTTTTAACTTTATAAACTCGCGGCTTTGTAGCTTCTATACCTTCAGGTTTTGAGACCCTTCGGTAGCTTGTTTTGTTGCAATTTTGGGGCTTTCTCGTTGGCATATTTAGGTGTCATTTTAGCACAATTTTGGAGGCTTTTGCAGCTTGTCATAGCTGTGGTTTTAGGGATTCTTAGGAAGATTTTATTGTTTGTGGGCTGTAATTTGCAAATTGGTGCTTGACTAGTGTGAGCTATAGTTTTGGCACTTCAATGCTACCTATATAGCTGCAGTTTTTGAGACCACTTGGTGCTTGGTTGGATGCGGTTTTAGGGCCCTTTGGTGACTTGTTTTGCTGCGGTTTTGGGGCTTTCTCGTGAGCAAATTTGGGTGTTGTTCTAGTATGATTTTAGGGTTTCGTTGGATGGTTTTGTTATATAAATTGACAGTTTTTTGGAGCAGCTTTTGCCCACTGTTTGGGCTACGGTTTAGGGCTGGTTTGCCCACTGTTTGGTTGTAGTTTTGAGCTGCGGTGGAGGCTTTATTTCATGATGTTTGGCTGCAGTTTTGGGCTACATTTGAGGTTTTATATGGTGTTGTTTGGCTGTTGTTTTGGGGGGAGAGGCTCTTGCATATGGTTTGAGTTGTAGTTTTGGGGAATATGAGGACTATTTTGTGACCTGTGCGGCCGAAGTTTTGGAGTTGTCTTGCTGCTTAAAAAATGATGTTCTGAGCTTCCTTAAACACTATTTTGGTGAAGCTTTTGATTGTTATTGGGATGTTCCCTCTGCGATCTTTACCCGAGAGCTGTTGTTATACCTGGTTGTGGCTTTAGAGGTGCTTCCTGTGGGGTTTTGTGATCTTCTTTTGTTGAGATGTTGCTCCCTGCTGTTGTCGCTGACCGTGTGCTTTTGAGAGACATTTCCCGTGAATACTTTTATGATATTTTTGTTCCCCTGCTGCCCCTAGCCGTGACTTGAGAGGTGCTTTGTGAAATGATTTTTGTGATGTTTTTGTTCTCTTTGCTGCCCCTGGTTGTGAACCCTTAATTTTTCTTTGTTGTACTAAGTTTGTCTTCCCTTTGCTTCCCCTAGCCGTGGCTTGAGTCTTAAATGTCTTATCCTTCTAATATTGGAATATTGAAAGTTTCAAATGAATTTTTCAAATTCATATCATTGGATGTTGGAAATGGTTTTAAATACAGTTTTGAGGGCTGATCCACCCTTCACTTCTTTGCTCTTTCATATGGATTGGTCTTTCGTCTCTCTCATTCTATTTTTTCTTATTTTTTTTCCTTGTTTCTTTGTTTGATTTAAATGTTTATGCCTGAAACATAAGCGTGTATATATAGTCATAGCTATATATGAACCATCAAGCAAGACTGTAAATTGAATGATTTCGGGGTTTAAAGTCCGTGATGATAAATGCATCCGGTGAAAGCGGAATAATATTGCATCCTACGACATCGAGACCCGACCTAGGGACCTGGTGAGAATGTAGTATGACAATATTATTCACCAACACTAGACTAGTGAGGACACTTATCTTCTTAGGCTGCTGGCGGTCCTAACCCGACAGTGAAATTGACTCGTAAGCAATTTATTTTACAAAATATAAAAATATGACGACATAACAAATAATTTCTTTACAACATAAATATTTTCGATTGCTAAGTAAAAGAAATCAATTTTCGCATATATGTGTGACAAACCACAAACTTTAAATAATACAATCTGATTGTCCACTTATCAATTACTTGTACTGAGCTAAGAATTGCCCTCCTAATATTATTTTGTAGGAAATTTCTAGTTTAATGTTGGGCTTTATACACGTGGATGACCGATTGTTCCCTTCAGACTCCTTCGGGAATACTAAAATCTGAGTCCACCCCGAACCTGAATTCTTACACTCCAATTCGGTTATTTATAGTTCGTTTGCTATTTTTTTCGGGTTTTCTCTGTGTTTCCATCTAATTTTCTTCGAGTTTATTTTGTGTCACTTTTGGTTTTCTTCAAGTTTTCCATGATATGTTTTGTCATTAGGCTCTTACATATACGCACATGTTTGCACTCCTAGCTCAATTTTATGCGATACTTGTTCACTCTTACAAGTGACACTTATTTACTTTTAACTACGGCACTAACCTCATTTTTAGGAGTAGCAGACACGTCAGGTACACATGTTTATATTATATTCACAGAACATTTTTTTACAGCACTCATTACTGCACGTTTTACTGTTTCTATTTGTCGCACATTTTACTACTTTTGTTTAATGTTATTTACACCATTTTCCTTTATTACACTTCCTTAAAGCGTATTTTGTTTATACATGCATTAAATTAATTGCAAGACCTTAAGGATAGAGAACAATATTCGGTGGATACTATAAAACCTAAACATACTCTTTAATTAATTGGATTAATAATGACTGAAATTAAAAAAACATAAGACATAAAATACTAAACCTGAAACTGCTATGACACGAAGCATAGAGCAAACCCTCCAAGGCAGCACGACGAAACCGCATTAGGCGGAGGATGACGATCTACAACAGCAAAACAAGTCTACATCAACTAAACTCATCCATTAGTTTAAATAACAAGCAATAAGATTTCGAGGTAGTCTGCTTAGTGTGACATAAATTCACTCTATATTTTAGGTCTTTGCACAGTCATATTGTGCAATCTAAGCTTAAACTCGCTTCAGGTTTCGAGGTTGTCGTCCGATACGACGTAAATCCTCCTACCTTCCAGGTCATTTGTATGACTGTGTCATACAAATGTAATCCCTAAATAATAAAACTGACAGAATGAAACATCAAGTAACATCTTCTCAAAAGTGAAATCAAACAATAGAATAGTTTGAGAAATCAGCGAGGTTCCACTCAAGAACCATGACATCCCCTATTTTTCTTTCCTATGATTTCAAAAATAAATGTTCCCATTTGGTCTCTTTCCCACTTAACTTTTTCATGTCCAACATTGGAAATTCTAAACTTTGAATTCATGAAAATAGATACCTCTGATCATCATCGAGAGTTCTCTAAGTGATTTCAGTCATTTGACTGAAAATAAACTATAGGGGTCTGCCTCTACAGGAAGCTTTAAGAATTCATGTATAAATAAATCCTATCTAATTTTCAATATTAGGTAGGAAAATTTGTCGGGATAGGTGCATTAATTGTGGTGTTGTGCTTGTTCACTTAAATTATCATATGAATGAGATCCATCCACTCTCATTTTAAAAAAAAAATTAAAATATTATTTTCATAAAATCAATATATACATATATATTAAATTAAATCAAAACTACATTTTACATTTTTCAAAAAGAAATTTTTAACGACCAACACTCATCCACGTAAAGAATATCATCAGCAAAAAGAATACACCAAAGTACATCCTTTTGTAAATATCCAGTAAGACCATCCATTACTAAAGCAAAAAAAATATAGGCTTAAAGCCAATCCTTGATGTAATCTAACAGAAATAGGAAAATATTTGTTCAATCCTTCTTAAGTTTGAACAAAAGTAACAGCTCTGATAAACATGTCTTTAATGACTTGAATATAAGTCATATCAACACCTTTCTTCTCAAGAAATTTCCAACGAATATCTCTTAGAAACTTATCATAAGCTTTTTCTAAATCAATAAAAATCAAATGTAGATCATCCTTATTATCTCTGAACTTATCCATCAAACTTCTCTATAAATGTATAGCTTCCATAATAGACCTACCCGACATAAATCCAAATTGATTATGAGAAATCTTTGTAATACGTCTTAACATATGTTTAATTACCCTCTTCCATAATTTTAAAGTATGACGCATCAACTTAATTCCTCTATAATTTGCACTCTTGTGCATCCACTTTATTCTTCAAAATGAGGACCAAAATACTCTTCCTCCACTCCTCAGGCATCTTGTTTTTTAAAATAATATTAAAGAATTCAGTAAGCCAAGAAACTCCCAAATCTCCTAAATATATCCACACTTCAATTGGGATATCATCAAGTCCTATAAACTTTCCACCCTTGGATATTTTTAAAGACTCCTCAACTTATTTTTCACTAATGCAACGGTAAAAATGAAATTTTATTATTATTAATGATATTAAGATCACTAAGGTCGATCATATTTCAAAAACTTCAATAAAAAGTTGATCAAAATAACTCACCCACCTGAGTTGTAATATTTTAAGCATTAAAACTAAATTTTGAAAAGGAAGCAACAAGCATTCAAGAAAACCATTTAACCAAACCTTAGATTTCAATCAAACATATTAAAATAACTTTCAGCCAAATAAAAAATTTGATATTCACAATGCATTTATTTCCAACCGCACATGGTGAATTCAAATTTAGATTTATTTAAACACTAAAAAGCTATCTTGCGAGTCCTTCTGAATTCTCTTTTCAATCCAGCCACATAAGCCCTAATAGTGAGTAAACAACCCATTGATTTTATTTTCAAATTGGTTGGCTTCAGATTAAGAAAAAAAAAAAAAGAGCAAATCAAACGAAGAATATAGAAGTGGAATGAATCAGCTAGAGCAACAAGACTAATACCTAAATTAGACATTAGATTAAATACTTGAAGAAACTATGTGCAAGTATGAGTATGATTCTATTGATACATAAAATATACATCAAGTGGTAGATGCAAAATAAAAAATATTGATACATAAAATATCAAAACTAAAAAGAAGAAAATGATTGGAAACTCACCAGAAAATTATTTTCAAGTGGAAAATTGCTTACTTCAAGCTATATCCATTTTGCCATGGAATACAATATGGTGATTGCAAATATTATCCTTCATAGCAAACATAGCAAAGCAAATTGGATGCTAGAGGAGTGAGAAACAAAAATGCGAGTCTCAAACAGCAAAAGTAATCCAAAGCAGATTAAAAACTATATAGAAAATGTTAGTGTTGTGAGTCAGGCCGACCCATGAGCAAGCTTAGACTCGACTCAATAAATGGCTAAAGAGCCGAGCCCAATGAGCTAAAAAGCCAAACTTGATCAAGTCCAGACTCAAATCGTTAGGTTGTGAGCTAGCCTATTTAAATATCATTATTTATAAATACACTTATATCCAAATTTAATAGTTTAAGCATAAAGTTATTAAAAATATTTAAAATTTATTGTTCACTTTCTTACATCAAATAACTTATCATTATTTTTTAAATTGATATTCTTCGTATCGCTTTACTATAACTATTAATAAAATTATAATCATAATTTCTCAATCATCATAAATGAGTAAACATGTGAGCCAACTTGATGATTCACAGATTCAGGTCACTTCAAATTGTTATCTTCTTTAAAAATAGAAATAGGGTGCAGGAACTATAGTTTAATTTCAATTTATATGTCCTGGTATAAGTGTTTCAATTTGTTGTTGTGTTTCAATATTTTAAGATGACATACTTGTAATTAGGATAGCCTATCCTATATAAATAGGGGCTATTTTGTGTGGGCTAAAGATGGGGAGTATTTTGATTGGCTATAAGAAACTTTCTTGTATCCTTCCTAGTTACGGAGTAAATTCAATATCCTGGATTTTCAATATCCAAGTGGTGATCAGCCATCGTTCATTATAGTTTATGGATTCTTCCCTTTCTTAGGATTTTTGGTCCAAACATTTTCCTGTTTCATGAATTTTCCAAAGTGCAAATTTATAATTTACTTTATTTATGATATCATCATGATATTAGAGCATGGTTCTTACACATATTTTCTCTTCTTTCTCTGAGTTCTTGAACATTTTATTCTTTTTCTCTCCTTTTTTTTTAATTCTCCTTCTCTATATTTTTGTACCGAATCTGCGAATAGTATTTGCCCATATATTGTCTAGAATTTGCATACAAAAGTCTACTTGTTGTCTAGACTTTGTATTTTCTAAAGTTCAGTGGCTGCAAGAGTTACCTTCTGGTTTTTTCTATCATGATTTCCTGAGTTTGTAGTCCAGGTGTCCACGTTCTTTGCAGTCTTGGTTTGTTGATTTCTATCTGGATTCTCCATTTTGGCCGCATTTTCTCTGTCGTCCAATCATGGGTTTCTTCTGTTCAGTCGTGGAAGGTTGATAATGCTCTGTCTTAGGCTTCTTGATTCAAATTCTTTCCCAAAAATTTTGAATAGTTTGTTGTCCCTGCATTTTTTTGCGGTTTTTTACTTCTTTCGATCATGACGCCAAGGAGGAACAATGTCCATCAAACCCGAGATTTGATTGTAGAATAAATACCACAAAAAAGTCGTCATCTACAAACAAGATTGGTGCTTCCTGAACGACGAGAACCTGAATAAAATCAACATGAACCTGAAAATTAGATGATGATCGAGAAAGAAGATAACTCATTCCATCAAGAGACATCTAGTGGCAACCTCTGTGTATATTGAGGCATGAAAATCGACGAAAATCTCCAAATTTCGAAATCAAAATCAACTCCCCTAATTTTGATGAAAGATTAGATCACTATGAATTCGTCAATTGTCTATAAATAGTTGAATGAATTTTAGAATTCAAGGAGATTCCACAAAAACATATCGTCAAACTAGTGGTGATCAAATTGAAGAACTTCTCACATTAGTAGGAAAACAAGAAACAAATTCGACAAAGAGAGGGTAAATCCAAGATCATCTTGCAAAAAAAATGAAAAATAAATACAACTGAAATTTTTACCAAATCATTACCGACAAGAAGTCTTCATCCTGCTTCATAACCTTCAACAAAAATTATTCGTGGAGGAATGTCATTGAATTTGAAAAGTTGGGGCTTAAGTGCAATCATTCCAAGCCCACATAGCACTACTGCACGTTTTCTGGTATTCTACGACCATCTATCGATAATGTGTTTCAACTCCAAAAATTCTAGACATTACAAGACGTGACTAATTTGGCGGTGAAGGTTGAAAAGTAGAAAAAATTGAGTAAGTACACACCAATATGTGATCCTACAAATGATTTGGGCAATTCAAGCAAATTAGTAGACTTTCGGGCACAAGCCAGTGGGCAAAATGCTAAAAGCAGCAGCAAAATAGCTATCCAGTCGCAGGAGACTACTACCACAATGAGAGAAGGAACTAAATCCAGTATATGGTGCTTCAAATGTCATGGGTTCGATCACATAGCCTCGAATTGTCCTAACCAACACATTATTTCTTGGTGGAAAAGGTTGATTAAGAGAAAAATGATGTAGTGGAAGAAGATACTAATCCAATGAGGGTTCAAGTTCTACAAGCGGACGAAGGGAATTACTTGTGATAAAACTCCTCCTAAAGTATCCAAAAATATTCTAATAAAAATTAGTTATGACATAACATCTTTAGAACTTGGTGCACTGTTCAGGACAAAGTTTGTAACTTTATCATCAATGTTGAAAGTTGTGAGAACATGGTTGCAACAACCATGGTAGAAAAGCTTGTGCTAACAACTCAACCTCATCCACATCCCTACTAACTCATGTGGCTCAAGAAGGGGCTAAAACTAAAGTCAATCGACAATGCATGCTGTCATTTTCGATTGGTCTAAAACTTCAGTGGCAGCTTTTACATAATGTAATTCATATTATATAATCTGTCGTGATAATATGATCGTCTTACAATTCATGATGAGTATTATTTCTTTATCAAAGAGGGAATTCAAACCACATTGGAGCCTATGAACGAAGAGCATTAGGTGAAAATTGAAATCAACACTTTTACTCCATTGCATTTGAAACATCTTTAGGAGACAACTATGGGGAACCACTTAATCATAACCAAGAGTTCCAAATACCTACCTCCAACTCCTTCCAAACTGCAGGGATTGACACAATAGTTCGAAGACATTTCCGACAGAGATTCCTAAAGGATGGTTTCCTATGAGAAAGGTACAACATTCCATTGACCCCGTGTTTGGTTCGTTCATTCCCAACAAACCTACATATAAAGTTTCCAAAGTAGCACGAGGAACTTCAACACCAAGTGGTTGAACGACAAAGGCTTGAAGCGACATAGTACTAGCCCGTGCATGATCTGGCTTTCATGGTTCCAAAGAAAGATGGATTTGAAGATTCGATGTTGGAAGATGCTTGGATCAGTAAACTTAAGATCAGTAAACTTAACCTACACATGGAGATTAAAGTGACTCCATCGTTTCTCAATATCTCCGAGTTGGTTGGTCATTAGGAATCTGATTCTAAGATTGCTCAATATAAGGTAACCTTGCCAATCTCAGGAGAATGATTTAGAAGCTAGAATTTTATTTCAATTTATATATCTTGATATATGTTTTTCGGTTTGTAGTTTTCTATATGTTTTAGGATGGCCTGCAATCAAGAAAGTTTAGCTGATATAAATAGGGGTTGTTTTGTGTGGGCTAAGGATTGGGAGTATTTTGAATGGTTGTAAGAACCGTTCTCGTATCCTTTTAGAGTAAGATGTGTATTCAGTACCCTACATTGGCCCCCCAGATAGTGATCAACCATCATTCATTATAGTTTATGCATTCTTCTCTTTTTTGGGATTTTCAGTCCAAACTTTTTTTTATTTTCTAAATTTTGAAGTGCGCTTTTCTATTTTACTTTATTCCTGGTATCATAGGGTTTCACCACTTTTAGAGCCATATTTCTCGTTACAAATGAACATGAACCGACTTTTTAATACAAATTTCACTAATTGTCACCATTGCAGGATGCAATTAAAAAAAAATTTTGCAAGAATAGAACGTACACACACACACATATATATACACATGCACGAGTGTATGTATGTATATATACATACACACGTCAATAATAAAATTCCATACTACAACAGTCCAACACCATCATAATATCCACGCAGCTGTCATGATATTCTCCTTGTGACAGAGAAGCAACACTACTCTTAGCAATAACATTTTCAGTTGTAATACTAGATATCATCATACCATTGAATAAGTGCGCAAGTGATGAGATACTAAGCACTAATGGCCTAGAAAAAAATGAGCTCATGTTCAGTCTGAACTATCTAAGTCACAATGGCATGCAAATCCTGAAAGCATTTTACAATCGTGAGAAGTTAGACAATCAGGTCCAAGACCGTGAGTTATTCAAAGAAGGCAGCCAATAGAGAGTGGAACAAAAGGGAACAAAAGTTATCCAAATATATCAATAATCAAACCATTTTTAAAACACAAACTTATGACTATTGGTGAGTGCAAAACATCAAAAGGCATCAAAATCATGCATATGACAAAAAAATGAAAAAATTCATTAGTGCCAAAAAGCTTCCAACTTCCACAACAAAGGACCTATGGAAAGCTTACGAGAATTCTTCCAAGGGAATCCTCTTGGGAATATGTATAGTAACTATAGAAACACCTGCCATTATATATCCACTCAAAGAGAGCCCTAAACATCGATGTTCAATGATATTGAAGACACAAAGGCATTGCAAATCCACAGAAAGAAAATGCTATGCAGCAGAGGATGAGCTGAACAAACATTACATTCAATGGATTAATCTTCAACCTTAAAACATGGCAACTTCTAATGTTATATCTGCTCCAACAATTGATCTTTAACTCACCTTTATAGGAACATGCACTACTATAAAACAATCATTGAATCTCTTGGAGAGGGGATCATCATATCTTTATATCAAACATGACCCTATACAGATTTAAGATAATACTGCACTACTAAAAACATACAACTCAAGTGAATATTTGTATTTTATTCTTCCCGTATAGTGAATAATTTCATTATGGTTACCTTATAATGCATGCATATCAAAAGATTAAACCGCAGTAAATCGTTTGCCCATTACTCTTCTTGTTGCATCATCTTTGTCTTCTAATAAATTACCTATAATATAATTCATTGTCAATCTATGAACTATTGATATGTAAATTTCACATATCTCGAGTAAGTTAATTCCAGTATCACATACCTTCAAAAGATTAAACCACTTTAAATCGTTTGCCCATTACTCTTCTTGTTGCATCATCTTTGTCTTCTAATAAATTACCTATAATGTAATTCATTGTTAATCTATGAACTATTGATATGTAAATTTCACATATCTCGAGTAAGTTAAGTCCAGTATCACATTCCTTGGCGATATTTGAAAGAAACATCAATATTATATTTCAATAGGAAGGGAATAACACTAAAGAAAACAACAACATAGTTTGTTCAATCTAAATCTCATATTTAAATTGGTACAATGTATTTTGAATGTCATATTGGTTAAACCATTAATAATTGTATTTTCATCACTCAAACACACATGGACGCTCTCATGGGCAGTTGCATGCTTGATTGAAGACGCTCTCATTATAACAATAATCAGCAATATTCTCAACTATCAACCAACTCATGTTGTCTAATCAACTTATATGCAACACAAAGAAAAAGGCACAATAATTGATATTTGTTGAATCTCTTTAGGACTATGATCCCATATAATCCGTAAACCTTACTACCGAACGACCTTATAAAAGAGTTGGAAGGAATGTGGGGAATTTTTAGAGAGAGAGCTAATCAGATCCCCCTTTTCTTCTCCCCTTTTACTTCATTCATATGCATACACCATATAGACTATGTGTCGGTGCAGAAGTCTAAGGAATAAAATAAAAAGCAACATTGTAGGTTGTACAATATTGATTATGAGTAGACTTGTGGTTGACAAGATCCTTGGTGTGACCGTTAGGCGGCCAATAAATGATTACATACATGATGATGGATTGAATTTCTCTTCCTTCTGCCTCAGAAAACTATTCACTGAGCTCAATGTTGTAGAGAGGCAACTATTGACGAGATTGGTAAAAGGAATCAACTAGTACAAACGAACATTGAAGAATTCAAGAAATATGAGCGAGCTTGGCAGGAAGAGCTCGTCTGAACGCTTAAGCTTAGCGAGCCCAATTGGAAGAAATTGCATGAATGCTGACGAGCTTTTGAGGTACTCATGGGATCCTTCAGAGCGACAAAAAGCTTTGTAGCTTGTCACCTCCAAAAGTACGGCCAATGAGTACGACTGACCTAGTCAAGACCGAACCATTAAATGCATAGTCAATAAGATCGATCCAATAGCACACGAGACATTTAGTATTTGGGCTTTCATGTTGCTTAAGGAAATTCATTTTTGGATATACAGTAATGTTCCTCCATTGTTTCATACCACAAATGCATCCACGATTATCCTTTCACACCATAACCATCTACAAGCTTGTAGCACTGAAATTCAAGGCTCATCGAAAATTTTGAGAAAGTTTTATTGCCATAAAACACCTCAGACATTATTAGTGTAGGATGTTCACCACCACCCTCAAAGAATTTACATGATTATAGTCTGCCCTCAAGTATATCATCTTTTGAATAGTTCTCTTATTTGTTCCCAACCCAATTTTACCCCATTTTACTACTATACCTTTGCTATCTAGAGAGAATGAAAATTTCATTTAAGGAGAACAATATCCCTCAATCAACACAACAAGTATCATACTTCTTAAACATTAGGTACTTGGAAGGCATATATTTCTTTTCAACAATAAGCTCTCAACCCTTGAACATTATAAGTTGACATCTTCCAACAAGAGATGTAAGAATAAACATTTCCTCACAAAATCTAGCATGATTGGACATTATTGACGATTGGCTTAGAAAAAAATAGACATGATGTATGCCAGCTGGGGTGAGTGACCCTAAAGCCAAAGCAAACAAACATCCACACACAAAAAGGTCAATCCACACAAGTTTTGGAGCCAATGATCATGGCAAAGTGAACAAAAAATAATACCACTATGAAGGTGAGCTTAAAAATAAAAATAAATAAATAAAAAGTTTAAATCAAGAGTTGTTGTACAAAACAAGCCTAAGGAACAAAGAATGCTAAGAAGGCTTTTTGAAAGCATCAATTCTTACCAATTTGCCTTCTATGTGAATACATCAAACCCACACAACTAGTGAAAAGGTAAAACCAATTTAAATTAGGAGGATCAAGCGATTACAAAAATTAAATGTTAAACATTTGGTATAGAAACCAATGTATAGAGGAGATTTAGCTAACAAAAATTCGAATCTACAACCAAAAGTTCTCACTTTAATTCATAATATGGTGACTAACTTAAAAACTAATCTCCAGTTGAATTGATGAAAAGTGTTTTGTTTCCTCTAAATGAAATTCGTACTTAAGATGTTTTTGAAGTCTCTAAGAAATATAATAGGCAAGAATGAAAGGCTGTTCAAGTTTATTACAGAGAAAAAAATGAAATGATTTATATCAAAATAAATATATTTAAGTTTTCAAAATATATTATTAGCCACTGCAATTAATTTCCCTTAAATCTATAAAGCTTGAGAAAATAATTAAGAAATTTATGTGTCAATTTTGTGCACTAAATTTCACGTTGAATTTTATATCCCTAACTAATTTTGTTGAATAGTGCCTCACATTATAGTAATGCAACATTCTTTGATTATCAGTGATCTTCCCTATATTAGGCATTGATAAAGGTATGTCAAGTCAAGGTTATTTTTGTTAACTTATAACCACTCAATAATTGTTGTCAATAATTTCGGTGGTTGTGTTTGTTGTAAGCAACGTGTTACTATTTTTAGCTTCGGCAAGCCTTAGAAGCATATAACTTCTGAAGATATGGATTTAATATCAATGAAAAAAAATGCAAAAAGAATAATAACTCCAATTATCAGAGATATGAAACGTTTAATCAATAGATCAAATACGGTTGTTTAGTAAACGTAAAAATAAACAAAAAAAGTAAATAACAAAATATCTCCTTTCCACTCATTAGCTAACATTTTTCTCTCTGATCATCAAAGCCTTAAAACTTAAATTTTGTACCTGTCAAACTACTCACATAAAAATAACAATATTTAATTTTTCAAGGATAGAGGAACTTTTAAGCCATTTGGTTTCATTTAACTGAATGAGTTCTCTATCAATATTTTGTAGCATACAAACACCACTGTTTGAGTTTTCTTTTACTCTGTATATACTTTCCCAATTTGTCATAAACTTCTCCATGCCTGAATGAATATCTCAAACCAAAAGAAATTAACGATGGACGTAATAATCATTCATGCAAGTCGTGTGGCATCTGCCCATTTAGTGAAGTGGTGCACCACAACAAGCATAATCCATCATCATAAGGATGTCAATAGAACCAACAAAATACATTCCTGATATGGCAAACATCAAAACGTTGTTGGTTGTAAGAGCTTGCTCAATTGATGAAAGACTTTTTCGTCCAAGTAGAAGCTTTTACATCTCTAGTTAAAGTTTTTCACATGGGCTCTAATGGTTAGCCACTAATATACGTATTTTAAAATATTTCTTGCTAAATTGTCTAACATGGAATAATTCTCACATTTGCCTCAATGTGTTTTCTAGGCCATACCATGCTTCTAAGCTTCGAGACACCTCAAACAAATTACTGGTTAAGATTTTCTAAGCAGGTCTCTTTCCAAGATGAGGTAAATTATTGACAGAGTTCGATATGAAAAACAATTGTAGTTTGCAATGAATTGATATTCTTCCTAAAAAAGTGACTGTGTTTGTTTTGTAGATACCATCAATTGAAACTTTGTGCAGAACTAGAGTAGAGGTGGCACGCAGATTATCATATTTTGCTAACAGATTTGCGACTTTGTCGTCTTCACCCACAAAATGGTATATACTGGCATCAGGGAGAAAGGGTAGAGTGAACTAAAGCTTGAATGTATTTACTTGCACAACAGTTAGAAAGATACAAAAAATAATATCCCAAACTTCATGATTCCCAATACATGTTTCGCTATGAGTTTATATCGCATAAAAAACTTGTAAATTATTAACCCTAACTCTTTTAACGAACTTATGTCTAATGAGTAGTGTTCAAAACTCAGAATGATTATTTTTGGTTTTGAAAATGATTCGAATTGATGAAAAAAAAATTAGGCCTTATGAAATTCTAAATATGATGTCCGCTCAATTATTAGCTTCACCATATGCTCGTTCATGCCTTTTTCATCACAACTTCAATGTAGATTTTCCTTTCGCATAAAGAATTAAACAATAAAGTCAAGAATCATCGAAGTTTTAATTATACTGTGGGAATCAATCTCAACTTCATCAATCACCCAAATATTTTGGCTTCTATAAAACTTAGCACGAAAGCTTCAATCATTTGGATGTGATATAAAATCTAGAGCATATTAATCTGATGTAGAACGACCCGACTCAGGCCCATCAATATTTGACAAAATAATATAACAAATGCTGCTTACTAACTTATTGTACAAAAATATAACTCATAAAATTAAAATTTACTCCCAAAGACAACAGAAGTCCTCCAGGGGTCTTCTAGTCTCTAGCTATTTAGGATTAGAGCAGTGGTAAGAAGATTATAAAACTATTGAAATGAATTCTCATAATTATTATCCCAAATTAACTTATTTAATTTTCAGTGATGCTTGAAAAAGGGGTATTATTCTCTCTTGCTAGAGACATAAATCCACATAGACCAAGAAATTGCCAATCAATTTTTGCACCTTTAAGCTAAAAATTAACACCTAAATTCCATATCATATTGAAAACTACAAGGAAAATATCTAGTGAGTATAATCTTTTAGCATGACTCTATAGCGATTACTTAGTTTCATCGCATATCAAATCAAATATAGAGTTGTCACATATGGAGTTTTCATTATAGCTCCTCAATACCTCATAACTACCATCATGTGTCAATGATGAAGGCCTTAAAAGTGGTTGTTGACCTCATGTTCAGATGAGATATTCACTTCTCTCCTTAGAGTCTAGGGTCTAGCTTTAGACTTTTCTTGTTTGACCCTCCTAGAGGACTAGTACGGAACTCACACCCTTTAGAAAATTCGAGTCACCTCGTCACTCCTTCGAGTCTCGTATGGGTGGTCCCGAATCTTCGGCATTTCATTGAGTTGATGAGAACCGACATATGAGACTCGAGTCGAGTTTCTACATTAATAGAAGTGCCCCTAGGAGACCTC